ATTAAGGCAGTTCTGAAGGCGAAAGGGGGTCAAACACCGTATTAGTATGGTGTTCCTAATAATCCTTTAGGTGAGTGTATTTTAGAGAGATAGAAAAGGTGGAATTAAGTATAAGAGCAAGATCTGATGACTGTAACAGGCAGGGCTCTCAAGTCTCGCGCATTAACCGTGAGACGCACCTTTCACTTTTGATGAAACTTGAGACCCTTGCTTAAAGTCACTGATGTTGAATGGACGCGATGCATTTTATGTGTGCTTATACATAATTTTTAATTGCAACATGGTGTGCATTGTCCCCCATAGTTTAATGTTTAAAGCACACCTTGCAGGATATATCTGTATCATTTAGGTTTATACTTATTAGTCCATAAACAAATTCTGTCTTTTGTACTATAAACGGGCACAGTGCTGTTATTAATGGTAACGGAAAAGTATTGCGGAATCTCGTAAAAGTCCGTCCGACCTTTGCGGGAGTCCCTCTTTTTCCCCAACCATGGACTTTCTTTTCCACTCCATGTCCAACGCAACAATTTGACCAAACCCGCCCACTAACCACAAAAATTTACACGCAATTCAAAAACTCCCCTGTCCAGATGCAACTGTCACCGGAACTGCAAGCATCAAGCTCTTTCCATTAATGTATCCTCTCCACCTACAACAGTGCGCCCCTATGGGGTCTGGGGCCCTCGGGTTTTGCCGGGTCCCGTGCTGCCACTGGCAGTGACATGTAGATGCTGTAACCCAGCACACTTTCACTGAATATCCCTGAGTCTCTGGGCTTGTGTGCAGTGATGACCAGGACATCTGTCACAGTGCAGCAACACTCATCCCCGTAACCTGATCTGGGTGGAAGCTGACTCCCCATTGTGCGCCCGTGTGCCTCTGCATTTGGCCCCAGCGCCCACATATAACAACATCACGTTTTATTCTTTAGTGCCTTCCATTGTCTCAGGTCTTTTTTAGAGTCACAGGGACTCATTTAGAGAGGTTATGTATGTCATTGCTGTGCGTAAATAATTTTCCCACATCGTTTACATAACTGGCTGTCAAAATGCTCCCTGGAGCATCTTCGGTGTAGGCTAGACTGGTCTTGTTCTACGAGAAGCTGTCTAAATGCTTATCTGAGTAGCCGAGTAACGATTGGTTCAGAGAGAGAACCAGTCAGATTGTAGAGGAGGTGGAATCAACTAATCAGATATTGTGGTCATGACTAATGTAGTTGCTTCCTACACAATCTGATTGGTTATTTCTCTGAACCAGTCATTTTTCCTTCTGCTCTCAGCACATTTTTGTATAAGTAAAACGTGACAAATGTAAACGAGCATGATAAATGTAATAGTGATCCTAAAGGGTATGTACTGCCTGCCCCCCCCCCCTCCAAGGTGAATACCTGTTTGCTGTGGCCTCTGATGATGGTTCTGAGTTCTGGCTGAGCCTGGACAGCAGCCCCCTGAATCTACACCTCCAGGCCAGCGTGGGAAGGGTAGGTGGTGAAGGGGGAGACAAGCGACGCACCTTTGAGAAGCATGCAGCTCGTGCTGCGTAATGGAGGCTGTTTCTGGGTGACTCTTTTCTTTTTTTCACAATGCCTCAAATTCTGTTGCACATTTTGTTTATATAACACTGTACATGGGTATGAGACTGTTTGAGACCCTGGTATTTAAATGTGAATTTATAGGTTCCCTGCAGCCAGTCAGTTACCTGTTGTTTTGTATCTTAGTTGTAGCACAACTCTTTTGACATGACATTTTTAATTATGCCCGTAGTAGCAATTATATTGGCATTAGTTAATGGTTATGAGGTTTAAAACAGGGGTAATAAGTACACAGGAATCTGACTTAGATTGCATATGGAAAAACACTGACATTAAATCTGCTGGTTGATTTTGTTTTGTCTGTCGTCCTGAATTTTCTGTGAATGCTGTAGGTATCATTTATGACTATATATAATTGTTAGCTTACTAGCAAATGTCAGCCTTCCTTTTGTTGAATGCTACGGCTGTTTCTAACTAAAGCATTTCCTTTTGGTTTTTAGGCAGGCATGGATTGGACAGCGCCGGGGGAGTTTAACAAATATGCCAGTCAAATATCTTTTCCAGTCCAGTATGTTGGCATCTTTTCTATTATGAAGAGAATTTTCTCTTTAGATTGTGGACATCATTTCTGTGTTTCTTTTTGGGAAAAGAGAGAAATCTAGTAATCGTTACAACAGTGGAAGGTTTTTATTCAGTCCATTCAATTTTGCATACATGGGCTTTGTGAAACAGCCTTAAATATCATGATCACAAAAATGCTACCTAATAAAATAAGAGAAATCTTTATTTTTTATTTATTTTAGACCATTATTCAATAGAGAGATACAGCGCTCACGGAACATATTGGAACACTTGCTACTTCCCTAAAAATATTGCAGATTTATTGTTTTTTATACAGTAACACAAATCATTACTGTTCATTTATTTATAAAAATATATTTCATATTAGAAACTACCAGTAGTTTTAAGTAAAGCATTGATTTCAAGTAGTAATAAATTGAAACCTAAATTTTGTTTTAAAAGAGCTACTTTGAGTTAATTGACAGTCTCATTGGGTGTTTTTATAATTAGTTACACCTTTGCAATAACATTCAACACCAAACATTTGTGTTTAAAATCCCTTTGGGAGACAGTCACTACGACTGCAATTAATAGCAAAAATGCAAGAACGGAACTAAATGAGTCAGTCAAAAAACTTATAAGCTCTTTAATAAAAAGAAAATGTCTGCGGAACACATGTGCAGGTATGTTAGATTCCGAAACACAGTATAAGATGTTACTATCCTTTGTGCAAAGATGTTACTATCCTTTGTGCAAGCACATACAATAGGTTCACTGTTAAGCTTGTTGGTGGATGGCGAATATTAGAGTTGGAGATGTTTGGTGTAGGTTGAAAAATTTTGGGATGCATCATCAGTAGTGCTCCTCTGGCTCATGGGGTGTTTCGGCCTTTCACACTATACACCCTCACCAGAGGCGGCCAGCTATCGGGTGATCAGCCTAAGCTTGCATCCTATGCCCAATTAGTCAAGAGAGTCGCCTTGATGTCAGATGACGGACATCTCATGAAACTGTATATGACAGCCTAAGCTTGTCACTGCTTAAACACTGCTTGTCAATTGACTTTTGTTTTGAAATCAATTAATTTGGAGCATTTTTACAAAATTAAGCAAGTGTTCTGAGACCATCTGTGAGCCCTGTACAGTATATGGTTTAAAAGCATGATTTACATCAACAGTTGTCAAAATGTAAATAAATGGAGTTAATTTCCTTCTGAGAAATAGGTGACTGTCAGACACCAAATTAGGCCATGCAGTTACATGCAGACTGGGACTGTGGTAATATAAAGCGACCATCTGAGGTTATGAGTGATTAACACTAGATGGGATAACAGTCTGATCACTGTGCAGATCAAATCGACTCGAGTGGCTTTTCCATTGTCAGTTCAACCATATGCAGTTGGTTCAGTAGACAGTCAAAAAACACGTTACTCCAGGACTGTGGTGCTACATAAAGCAACACAAGACTACAAAAGCTACACAGAATATCATGAAGTGCAATAAGACAAAATGACAGCACAAACGAAAACAGCTCAGTGCCGACCAATGCAAAGATTTGATATTTGCAGGTGCAAAATGTAGCAGGATTTGTAGAGATGTGGCTGTATATTAATAAAATAAAGTGTAAACATAAATGTGACATATAATTTTTGACACAGATTGCATGTGAACAGAGATTTTGCTACAGTGGAGCACTGAATGTACCTGCAAGGCCATCCTTCATGGTGGGGAAATGAATGTGATGTCATTTTTATCATTGTGTTTCTGCGCCCATCCAGTCTGTCTGCAGAGGATTTCTACTTCTTTGAAGTCATCCACAAGCAAAACGACAGGGGCACGGACCACTTGGAAGTAGCAGTAAGTGCCCAGTCACACTGGTCATGTTTCACTTTGCCTCATCTATTATCAACCATAACAGACAGATATCGTTACAAATCACATATGACCCGTGAAAAATTGCAGAAATTAAGAAAAATGTTCTGTCATCTTTATTGGCCTAAACT